TCAAAGCCGGGACCTTCAGCGAAGGACATCAGAGCGATTTTTATCTTTTCTGTTCATTAGAAAAGTTTCCAGAATTATCACATAACGTTCGATGTCCCAAAACTCCACCAAGGCCTTTGTATCCTCAGCCGGGGGGCGGGGGCGCGCTGGGGGGAGGGGTCATCTGCTGATTGCCAGTTCGTGCTAATTAAATCTTAAAGCTGAGGGGAGAGAGAGGAGAGAGAGGAGAGAGGAGAGAGGAGAAGAGAGATGAAAGGAAAAAAAGAGCAAAAAGTAAAGGAGAGGAGAGCAAAAAGGAGAGGAGGGGAAGCGAGGAGGAGGAGGAGAGAAGAGAGGGGAAAGGAGGATGAGAAAGGAGAGAGGAGAAGAGAGGGGAAAGAAGAAGAGAGGGGAAAGGAGAGAAGAGAAAAGAGGGGAAAGGAGAGAAAAGAGGGGAAAGGAGGAGGAGAGAAGAGAGGGGAAAGGAGGAGGAGAGAAAAGAGGGGGAAAGGAGAGAAAAGAGGGAAAGGAGAGAAGAGAGGAGAAAGGAGAGAGGAGAAAGGAGAGAGGAGAGGAGAAGGGAAAGGAGAAGGGAAAGGAGAAAAGAGAGGGGAAAGGAAAGGAGAGATGAAAGGAAAGGAGAGATGAAAGGAAAGGAGAGATGAAAGGAAAAAAATAGCAAAAAGTAGAGGAGAGCAAAAAGGAAAGGAAAGGAGAGAAGAGAGGGGAAAGGAGGAGGAGAGAAGAGAGGGGAAAGGAGGAGGAGAGAAGAGAGGAGAAAGGAGGAGGAGAGAAAAGAGGGGAAAGGAGAGGAGAGGTGAGGTGTATAGCAAGAGGAGAGGGGAGGAGGGGGGTGTATAGTGAGGGGAGAGGAGAGGAGAGGCACAGGAAGAGCAGAAGGGGGGTGTATAGAGAGGGGACAGAGGTATAGGGAGGAGGGTAGAAACATATGGTATGGAGAGGGGAAGGTAGAGGTGAATGGAGGTGAGTGGGGCAGTGAGGGGAAGAGAAGAATCGGGGAGAGGACACAAGGGAGAGTTGTATAGTGATGGAAGGGGGGGGGGGTAAGTGTGGGAGTGAGGAGAGGTAAAAGTTGGGAAAATCTTTACAAGAACGTAATTAGTGCTAACAATTTAGTCTGCACTATGTAACGATTTGAGCTCCGCCCTCATTCTCTGCCCCCCCCCCAACCATTGTGGTTACTGGTCCATCTCATTCCGTGAACATCCTTAAATCACGGCCTGTAATTTTGCACCAATCATGTTCCCAGATTGTAGCTCCTCCTCCATCTCCTCCCTCTCTCCTAGCCCACCTCCCCTCCCTCTCCTAGCCCACCTCCCCTCCCCTCCCTCCAGGCCCACCTCCCCTCCCTCTCTCCTGGCCCACCTCCCCTCCCTCTCTCCATGCCCACCTCCCCTCCCTCTCTCCTGGCCCACCTCCCCTCCCTTTCCCAGGGCTTTCCTTGGAGCATGAGAGGGAGGTTGCATACCACAGAATCAAGTGACGAGAGCCTGCAGCCCCACACAATTGCATTGCAGAAATATCCCTTCTGACCTGCCGGAAAGGGATGATGGCAAACTCAAATAATGAAGAGGACTTTCTGTCCCCCTCGTTTTATCGGAAACTTTAAGAACCCCCCCCCCCCCTCCAGCCTTCCACTCGTCTTTTCTCTCGAATGCTCCTCCTCGCTATAAATCCTTCTTGTGTCTGTAAGAAGAAAGAGAAGAAAAAAAAAGGAGAAGAAACTTTGCCGCTAATGCTAATAAATTGCTCTCCGCGCAGATAATGCTGCAGAACGTTTGTAATTAAGGGGAAGATAATGGTTATTAATTGCTCGCCCTTCCCTGGAAGATGGAGGATGTGCCGAGCCCCCTCCCCCCCCCCCGAAACGTCCCAACGAATCTGCCGAGACGCTTATTAAGAAGTCATGTTCAAAAATGTAACACTTAATTGCCGGTTTTATCAAATCCTTGAGGACGGCGAGGTAACGATCGCTACGCGCCAACAGATTACGCGGCGAATGACGTCCATATGTCACTCTATAATACGCCATAAACCAGTCGGCAATCTCGCAGGCGGCGGCGATCGTTCTCAGCGCAATCTGTGATCAGGAGTCGGAGCGAACTTATTTAGCGGAAATTGATTTCCCCGCAAAAATTACCGATCCCGTCGCCAAATTCTCCATTTTGCTCATCGCAGCGGTTTGGGCTGAAAAATAAACAAATACATTACAGGAAAAAAACACACAACCTCTGAAGAAAAAAAAAAATGTATTTTTGGTGGGGGGCTGGGCAGGTGCTAGACTACTTCCTTCCCTAGGCAAGACCAGCTACTTGAACCCCCCCACACAAAAAAAAAACTTCACTTTTAGTCCTACTTCACTCCTCCCAGCACAAATCCTCTCCCCCAAATCCCGCCTCCTAGCCCAACCCCTTCCAAATTACCCCTCCCAGCACAAAATCCTCTCCCCCAAATCCCGCCTCCTAGCACAAACCCTTCCAAATTACCCCTCCCAGCACAAATCCTTCCTCCCCACCCAAATCCCCCCTCCTAACACAAACCCCCTCATCTCCTCTCCTAGCACAAATTTGCCCCCAAATCCCTCCTCCTAACACAACCCCCTCAAATCCCTCATAGCACAACCCCCCAAATCCTCCCACCTAACACAACCCCCCCCCCCCCCCCCCCCATCTCCCCTACTACTACAAATCCTCCCCAAAATCCACTCCTCCTAACACAACCCCCCAATCCCCCCCCCCCCGCACCCACATCCCCTCTCCTAGTACAAATTCCTCCAATTCCCTCTCCTAGTACACATCCTCCCAATCACCCCCCTCCTATCACAAATTCCTCCTCCTAATACAAGTTGCCCCCTTCCTCCAATCTCCTCTCCTAACACAAATCCTCCCTCCTAGCACAAATACCCCCCCCCCCCCAATTCTCCCTCCCAGCACAAATTCCTCCCATTCCCTCTCCTAGTATACATTCCCCCAATCACCCCCTCCTATCACAAATCTCCTCTCCTAACACAAGTTGCCCTCTTCCTCCAATCTCCTCTCCTAACACAAAGCCTCCCAATGCTCCCTCCTAGCACAACCCCCCCCCAATTCACCCTCCTAGCACAACCCCCCCCCCATCCCCTCTTCTAGTACACATTGCCCCAATCACCCTCCCTCCTATCTCAAATCCCCCTCTTGACACAAATTGCCCCCTTCCTCCAATCTCCTCTCCTAACACAAATCATCCTATTCTCCCTTCTTAGCACAAATCCCCCCCTCCCAGCACGCATCCATACCTTAAATCCCCCCCCCCCCAGGACAAATTCCCCTAAATCCTTCCCCTAGCTAAAACCTCTCCAAATTAACCCAACCCAACTCCCAGCATAAAATCCTCCCACCTTACCCGAATCCCCCCCTCCCCCAATTTTTTTAGTATGCAGCGGCCAGGCACATCATCCAAGGAAAGACCGTCCTGGGGGGGAGCAGAACTGAAATCTGGAGAGGTGTAGCCCACCCCAGCACCCCCCTAGATCTGGCCATGGCAGAGAGTATGGAAACCAGCAGCCTGGCTGCGCCCTAGGAGGCAGTGCACCCTAGATGGCTGCCTAGTTCGTCTAGAAGTAGCACTGGCCCTGCATGGGGGCAGCGGTATCTGGGGTTCATAAATGGGGGCTTACAGATTCCAATAAGCCCCCTCTGCTAGCAGACCCCTACAACCACCGAGCCAGGGTTGTGGGGAAGAGGCCCTTGTCCTCATCAGCATGGGAATAAGTTACTATGCCAAGGGGTTCCCCCCGGCTAAGTAACCCCCATGTTAAAGGCATGTGGTCTGGAATGGTTCAGGGTGGAGGGGCGCACACTGTCCCCCCTTTTCCTGGTCACCCAGACTGCATGTTCAGATAAGGGTCTGGTATGGATTTTGGGGCACCTAATACTTTTTTTCTGAGTGATGCTCCTTCTTCAAATCCATACCAGAAAAAGGGTCTAAATATGGAATTTGGGGGGTACCCCTTAAAATACATACCAGACCTAAAGGGCCTGGTAGGACTTTGAGGGGGGGCCCTCACACCGTTTCATTTGTTCGGTTCATTTCGCTGATCTCAAGTGTCAGCCGGAGAGCTGCATCAAATCACATTCCTGACGATTCCCATAAAATACCTCAATACTGGTCTTGGTGGGTCCATCCCCAATACTGGTCTTGGTGGGTCCATCCCCAATACTGGTCTTGGTGGGTCCATCCCCAATACTGGTCTTGGTGGGCCCATCCCCAATACTGGTCTTGGTGGGCCCATCCCCAATACTGGTCTTGGTGGGCCCATCCCCAATACTGGTCTTGGTGGGTCCATCCCCAATACTGGTCTTGGTGGGCCCATCCCCAATACTGGTCTTGGTGGGTCCATCCCCAATACTGGTCTTGGTGGGTCCATCCCCAATACTGGTCTTGGTGGGTCCATCCCCAATACTGGTCTTGGTGGTTCCCCTTCCCCAATACTGGTCTTGGTGGGCCCATCCCCAATACTGGTCTTGGTGGGCCCATATGGGTTTCTGCTTTATCAGCTTTTTATTGACCTTTTCCTGTAGAAGCTGTTTATAGGTAACATGTCACCAAGTATAGTTTACACCTTCGTTCTCAGATATTTGCTTCAGTTCACCTTTCTGATGCCACCAGCAATGTAGACCCAAGAACCATGGCTTAGGGGTGTCATGCATTGCAACCAGAATGCCACTGCTGGTGACCATGGCCTTTGTAGAATCCTTGCCTCGCTATGGCCCTGTGTACTGCTTACAAAAGGTGACCCCCTTTCCTACCACTGTGGAGCTACTCCCTGTAGGAGCCACTGATTTTAACTGCTTCTTCCCCAAACAGTGCAAAGGCCACCAATCACACAGAAAGTTCCATTAAAAAGTCTAGGGCAGCAATTCTCAACACAGAGGAACCCTTGAAATATCTTTCCGATGTTAGGGAACCCCTACTAATAATCTACAACTCCTGATACATCAATGTAATGGTCAGTGGAAAGAATGTCCCTTACATTGGGGGTCAGTGGGAAGAATGTCCCTTACATTGGTGGTCAGTGGAAAGAATGTCCCTTACATTGGGGGTCAGTGGGAAGAATGTCCCTTACATTGGGGGTCAGTGGGAAGAATGTCCCTTACATTGGGGGTCAGTGGGAAGAATGTCCCTTACATTGGGGGATCAGTGGGAAGAATGTCCCTTACATTGGGGGTCAGTGGGAAGAATGCTCCCTTACATTGGGGGTCAGTGGGAAGAATGTCCCTTACATTGGAGGTCAGTGGGAAGAATGTCCCTTACATTGGGGGGCAGTGGGAAGAATGTCCCTTACATTGGGGGGCAGTGGGAAGAATGTCCCTCACATTGGGGGCAGTGGGAAGAATGTCCCTTACATTGGGGGGGTCAGTGGGAAGAATGTCCCTTACATTGGTGATCAGTGGGAAGAATGTCCCTTACATTGGTGGTCAGTGGGAAGAATGTCCCTTACATTGGTAGTCAGTGGGAAGAATGTCCCCCTTACATTGGGGGTCAGTGGGAAGAATGTCCCTTACATTGGTAGTCAGTGGGAAGAATGTCCCTTACATTGGTAGTCAGTGGGAAGAATGTCCCTTACATTGGTAGTCAGTGGGAAGAATGTCCCTTACATTGGTAGTCAGTGGGAAGAATGTCCCTTACATTGGTAGTCAGTGGGAAGAATGTCCCTTACATTGGTGGTCAGTGTGAAGAACAATCCTTACATTGGTGGTCAGTGGGAAGAATGTCCCTTACATTGGTGGTCAGTGTGAAGAACAATCCTTACATTGGTGGTCAGTGGGAAGAATGTCCCTTACATTGGTGGTCAGTGTGAAGAACAATCCTTACATTGGTGGTCAGTGGGAAGCATGCCCCCTACATTGGTAGTCAGTTGGAAGGAATTACCCCCTTACAGATAGCTAAATAGATCATTGGTGTCAGTGGGAACATGTCTGAGAGGCAGAAATTGCTCAAGGAACTCCTAGAACCTCTGGAGGAACCCTGGTCTAGGGGATGTCTTTTTAAGATTCATTGCTTGTAGAACTTGTAACAGGAGAAGAATGGTACAGCCTTTGAGCCAGAAACAAAGGGTAAGGCCTGAACTGTGACCCTGTAAGAGCCATCCAAGGAGAGCTACCACTGGCACCTCAAAAGTAGACCAGCACCCAGCTCAGGTCAGTACTCACAATGTCCCAAAGCAGCTACACACCTTCCGGCTTCCACCAGGCGTTCTTCAGCGAGTTCTCCAGACCAGATCCTTGGGTGAAACTACTTAGATAGCTCCAAAGATAATTAGGAATAAGCCTCCCAGCTCAGCTATAACTGGGACCCCAGGGAACATCAGCAGTCTCAGGGTGAACTGCATCAAAGGGGCAGCAGCCCCTGAAGCTGGGAACTTCTCTAGCAAGACAAGAACAGGGCTGCTCAAGACCCCAGACTATTTATGTTCTCCCAGCCACCTACTGGACACACCTCCCCAGGGATTGGCTGCAACACAACTATTCCAGCTGCCCATTGACTCTTCCAGCCCTCTATGTTCTGGAAGCCTCTAGAATGCCTGTGGAAGCCATCAAACCTGCAGCCTGAGAAATCTAGAACAACCCAGAGAAGTCAATAGCTGCTCCAATGATGACAGAAGAACCAAAAAACTAAAATGTACCTATTATCCTAGCAACCTACCTAGGAGGGTCCTACACTACCATAGGAGTATATTAACAAAGATCCTGTTCTGTGGTTGGAGGAAATCTCCCTCCACTCTGTAGAAAGGGTTGCTGGTTGCCGGGCAGTGGAAGCACCCTTTGGAGTAACACCTTTGTGCTGGAGATAACCAGGCCTGTGATTGCTCGGCAGAGTCCCCCTATCCTGGTGGGGAACACATGGCAGGGACTTCATTCTCCCATAGATTTTCCAACTCATTCCAGGCTTATCGAGAAGGTCTGCTACACAGTAACAGAGGCAACAAGAAAGGTTCAGTAATGGTATTGGTCCTCAAGTGAGTGCCTGATCCAAGATCAAAATGTCCCTTATGAAGTCTATCAAAATATCTGTGCAAGTTGGAGAATGGAACCCGAACCAAAAGTACCAAGAGAGGGAATGACACCTCTCAGGTCTGCTGTCCAGTGGGAGGAGTCACAATGGAGTGGGCTCCTGGAAAAGAAGGTAAAAAAGTCCTTTGATGGAAGTGTGGAGACCAATGGGTGAAGAATGCAGAAGATGGGCTGAATCTCAGTTGCCCACTAGATGCTTTAGATCGCACGGCAAGCACTGGGTTTTGTGCAACGTGTAACGATTCCCCCCCAACAGGGGCGGACTGACCATTTGGAAACTCGGGCACTGCCCGAGGGCCCAGGGTCAGTAGGGGGCCCCATGAGATGCCCCTGGTACCTTTTTCATAAGCTTTTTTGAGTTTTTGGGCAAGGACACAGGGGCCCCATTATCCCCTATTGCCCGGGGGCCCCATGAGTTGTCAGTCCGCCCCTGCCCCCCACCATCACTTTAGTTATGACCAGCCCAGGTCTGTACAGCCTGCTATGTTCCTCTCAATGACACCACTCTAGAAGCTGCAAAATCCCCTTGGATACATCGAACTCACGCGACAAAACGAGAACAAGCGCCCTGTTGTGAGGGAATTCCTGAGACGGCCAGCGAATAGAAATGCGCATGGAAATATCCGGAGAATAGTGACCAGACGTGAGCATGCGCACAGAAATACGTGATCGTGCACACACATGCACACGCACAGCGAATCTTGGCGCCAGAAGGACTATTTAAAAAGGGTGCTTCTGCCTGTGCTGACTGGTCTTCAGCTGTCCCCGTGTCCTGCTTGTTCCTGTGTGATTCCCTTGTTGCTGACCCAGCTTGATCCTGAGTTGAATCTTGATTCCTCTCCTGCTTGATACTCGTTCCTGACCTTGGCTCTTGATTCCTCGCCTGCTTGATACTCGTTCCTCGGCTCTTGATTCCTGCCTGCTTGATTCTCGTTCCTGACCTTGGCTCTTGATTCGTTCCTGACCCTGCTTCCTGCTTCTCGTTCCTGACCTACTCTGATTCCTCTCCTGCTTGATACTCGTTCCTGACCTGACTCTTGATTACTCTCCTGCTTGATACTCGTTCCTGACCTTGGCTCTTGATTCCTCTCCTGCTTGATACTCGTTCCTGACCTTGGCTCTTGATTCCTCTCCTGCTTGATACTTGTTCCTGACCTGACTGATTCTTCTTCTGCTTGATACTCGTTCCTGACCTGACTCTGATTACTCTCCTGCTTGATACTTGTTCCTGACCCGACTCTGATTCCTCTCCTGATACTCGTTCCTGACCTAACTCTTGATTACTCTCCTGCTTGATACTCGTTCCTGACCTAACTCTTGATTCCTCTCCTGCTTGATACTCGTTCCTGACCTGACTTGATTACTCTCCTGCTTGATACTCGTTCCTGACCTTGGCTCTTGATTCCTCTCCTGCTTGATACTCGTTCCTGACCTTGGCTCTTGATTCCTCTCCTGCTTGATACTCGTTCCTGACCTTGGCTCTTGATTCCTCTCTCTGCTTGATACTGCTGACCTGACTGATTCTTCTTCCTGATACCGTTCCTGACTCTGACTCTGATTACTCTCCTGCTTGATACTCGTTCCTGACCTCTGATTCCTCTCCTGCTTGATACTCGTTCCTGACCTGACTGATTCCTCTCCTGCTTGATACTCGTTCCTGACCTGACTCTTGATTACTCTCCTGCTTGATACTCGTTCCTGACCTGACTGATTCCTCTCCTGCTTGATACTTGTTCCTGACCCGACTCTGATTCCTCTCCTGCTTGATACTCGTTCCTGACCTGACTGATTCCTCTCCTGCTTGATACTCGTTCCTGACCTGACTCTTGATTACTCTCCTGCTTGATACTCGTTCCTGACCTGACTCTTGATTACTCTCCTGCTTGATACTCGTTCCTGACCTCGGCTCTGCTCCTGACTTTGGCTTGCTTATGATTTGGTACCTTTACGCCCGTTGATGACCCCGGCTACTCCTATGACATTGCTCCTGTGTCCCATCCCAGGTTCCTGCCTTGCTCTGGTGCACATCTGGAGACCTACCCTACCAGCTCTGCATATCACTACCGTTCTGGAATCGGTGGTCCATCAGTCTTTTAAGGACTCCAGCTGCAAGTTCTTCAGGCAACATCTGCTGGCGCTCTTGTCCCCCCGGTCCCTAGACACCCTCTGTTCCACTTTCAGCGGGGTCAGGGCTAGTGACACAAGTGAGGCCGACCTCGTCATTTCAGTCTCCTATCAGGTACGTGACACCTGTAGTGAGGTGTCTAGAAAGGGAAGGGTTGTTTCCTTTTCGCTCCCGGAATGCAAAGTACTAGAATCTTTGCAAAACTCCTGGGACCTGTCCTTGGTTGGTGGTTGTGTCAGGTAGCAGAAAGTGGATAGCACTGCCAGCATGGAGGTCCTGATCCCAAAACACGCAGTTTTGAGATTCTGGGTGTTTGGAACTGTACAGTGTTCACGGACAGTCTCAGTGACAGCGTTCACTGACAACACATTTTGGCTGCACCCCAATCTGATTCTGGTAGCTTAGCAGAGAGACGTTGGGCAGCAGTTCACTGTGGTTGCCCCTGTTCTCGCTGTCCTGCCGCTGGGCATATTTTTACTAACACATTAAGGCTGCGTTCACACTAGCGTTGTGTGCAGGCGGCAGAAAGGCGTTTGGGAAGCGTTTTTACCGCTTCCCAAACGCCTCGGACAATTCTGCACATTGCAGCACATGGTGCTGTTCTAACGGGAGCGTTAGCGGCGCGGCAAAACGGACGCCTCTGATCGAGTCAGGAGGTGTTGAAGCCTCCTATTCTAGTCTATGGTGCCGCTCCGCAACAAATGCCCGGCCGGCGGTTGCGACGCGTTTGCGGGGTGTTTGCGGAATGGTAACACCATTGAAACTTCATTATAGGTGTTTGTAGGGCATTTTTAATGCTCGGAAAACGTCTAGCAACCGCCGCTGAACCACACATGCAGCGTTTGCGGAGCGTTTGCCGAGCGTTAAAAAACGCTCTGCAAATGCCGGACCGGCGTTTGGCAAGAATTGGTAAAACAGTCAAGTGTGAACGAGCCCTAAGAATTAAGAGATGGTAGATAACACAGCAGTGTTAAATTGGCCAGCAGCAGGACATATTAATGAGCAAAGCTAGGCCCAAATGTACTACAGACAAGGAGCACAGGCTTGAGGTTTACTACCAGAACTGAAATACTTCAGAGGAGCAATTTAAAAACAAAAAGGGGGTCAATTACTCAAAGAGCTAGCAATCAGAATTGGTGTACAGTTTTCTAACTAGCCCCAAGCTCTCCCTATGGAGCTTTCCCTATCTGATCCCAGTAACACATGTAATCCAGTGTCGTGTGGGAATAACGGGTAGATTGCACACTCACCAGAGGCGCAATATACATGCGCATTTACATCAAATGTATCAGAGGTCCCCTCAATCCTGGGTAGGATGTAGCCTGGAATGGATGCCTCTTCAGTGGATTATGGTGATGGTACTTCTAGAGGAGGTCCCCTTTAAGGCTTGGCTACAAACGGGGTCTGCTGGTCACAGCTCTCCTCTGGGCCCTGGGCTGGTCACCTGGGTGTCCTAGGGCAGTGGTCGGCAAGCCGCGGCTCTTTACACACTTCAATGCGGTTCTTCTGTGTGCCGGGCGCCCGCTCCCCTCCCTCCTCTCGGGCGGCCGCCCCAAAAGTCAGGACTCTGCAGCTAGCCCAGCAATGGGCAAACTACGGCCCGGCGGACCTTTTAATCC